GGTAGTGTTTATGAGAAAACTACCGACGTGTCACTGATCCAGGTAATGTTTATGATAACACTACGNTTAGGGCAAACCCCAGTGTGTAGAGTGTCAAGTGTGTGTTAGGGCTAACCCCAGTGCGTAGAGTGTCAAATGTATGTTAGGGCAAACCCCAGTGTGTAGCGTGTCAAGTGTATGTTAGGACAAACCACAGTGTGTAGCGTGTCAAGTGTATGTTAAGGCAAACCCTAGTGTGTAGAGAGTCAAGTGTGTGTTAGGGCAAACCAGTGCGTAGAGTGTCAAGAGTCAAGAGTGTGTTAGGGCAAACCCCAGTGTGTAGAGTGTCAAGCGTGTGTTAGGGCAAACCCCAGTGTGGAGTGTCAAATGTGTTAGGGCAAACCCCAGTGTGTAGCGTGTCAAGGGTAAGTTAGGACAAACCACAGTGTGTAGCGTGTCAAGTGTATGTTAAGGCAACCCCCAGTGTGTAGAGTGTCAAGTGTATGTTCGGGCAAACCCCAGTGTGTATAGTGTCAAATGTGTGTTAGGGCAAACCCCAGTGTGGAGTGTCAAATGTGTTAGGGCAAACCCCAGTGTGTATAGTGTCAAGTGTATGTTAGGGCAAATACCAGTGTGTAGAGTGTCAAGTGTGTTAGGGCGAACCAGTGTGTAGAGTGTCAAGTGTGTGTTAGGGCAAACCAGCGCGTAGAGTGTCAAGAGTCAAGAGTGCGTTAGGGCAAACCCCAGTGTGTAGATTGTCAAGAGTATTGGAGCCCTAGCTGTTGAACCTCCTCTCCGGATCCAATACTGAATAGTTGAAGAAACCACCTACTTAACTGACGAGAGAATGAAAAGAGTGTGTAGCGTGTCAAGTGTATGTTAAGGCAAACCTCAGTGTGTAGAGTGTCAAGTGTATGTTAAGGCAAACCGCAGTGTGTAGAGTGTCAAGTGTATGTTCGGGCAAACCCCAGTGTGTATAGTGTCAAGTGTATGTTAGGGCAAAACCCCAGTGTGTAGAGTGTCAAGTGTTCGTTAGGGCAAACCCCAGTGTGTAGAGTGTTAAGTGTATGTTAGGGCAAACCCCAGTGTGTAGTGCCAAGAGTATGTTAGGGCAAACCCCAGTATGTATAGTGTCAAGTGTATGTTAGGGCAAATCCCAGTGTGTATAGTGTCAAGTGTGTGTTAGGGCAAATACCAGTGTGTATAGTGTCAAGTGTGTGTTAGGGCAAATACCAGTGTGTATAGTGTCAAGTGTGTGTTAGGGCAAACCCCAGTGGGTATAGTGTCAAATGTGTGTTAGGGCAAACCCCAGTGCGTAGAGTGTCAAGTGTATGTTAGGGAAAACCCCAGTGTGTAGAGTGTCAAGTGTATGTTCGGGCAAACCCCAGTGTGTATAGTGTCAAATGTGTGTTAGGGTAAACCCCAGTGTGTAGTGTGTCAAGTGTATGTTAGAGCAAACCCCAGTGTGTAGTGTGTCAAGTGTATGTTAAGGCAAACCTCAGTGTGTAGAGTGTCAAGTGTATGTTCGGGCAAACCCCAGTGTGTATAGTGGCAAGTGTATGTTAGGGCAAAACCCCAGTGTGTAGAGTGTCAAGTGTGCGTTAGGGCAAACCCCAGTGTGTAGAGTGTCAAGCGTGTGTTAGGGCAAACCCCAGTGTGGAGTGTCAAATGTGTTAGGGCAAACCCCAGTGTGTATAGTGTCAAGTGTATGTTAGGGCAAACCCCAGTGTGTAGATTGTCAAGAGTATTGGAACCCTAGCTGTTGAACCTCCTCTCCGGATCCAATACTGAATAGTTGAAGAAACCACCTACTTAACTGACGAGAGAATGAAAAGGCAAAATTGCATTCAATGTGATCTCTTTTATTTATTCAGTTAATACAATGACATCCTAAATTTAATTAAGAGGTTGAATCAACAATAATTGTCAATTTCAGCCTTAATAATTACGCCCTAGTAAAAGTCATGAGCTATATAATTATATATATTCTACTTAAAAATGGGTTTTCGGCAGTATGTTACTCTTTAAAATATATAAACCATAAACCATGATGTTATGTTCTATTATATGTTTTAAAGAAGTTATGAACTTTTCATCGATACAACCAAGCAGAGAAAATCCAAACGATACGTGCCCATTAATGATAAAATAGTTTAGACATCGACTTTATGTATGGTAACTACAATAGGTGTAACAGAGAATTTTAGTCCAACATTTACCACATCAGGAGAGGGCTTGTATAGGCATCACGCCCGTCGCCCAATTACTTTTGAATTTGTATTAGCTACACTATTTAATAAAAAACCTTTGTAAAAAATGAAATTTACCACATTCTTTACGTGGTTCATTTCAGGAACTAAAGGCAAACAAGGGCTGTTTTCCTTATATATATTCACAATACATGTCAAGGTACAGGAAAATATTGGTTTACAAACTGTTTTTGTAGAAAAGACCAGCTGATCTGAACCGTAGAATGCTTACAATCCATTGGGATGGGATGTTGTGTATTACAATATAGCTCACACTGTTAAAATGGTACAGTTATTTAGTCATTTTTAAATGATTCTCATCAAAGAAAACATGGAAAATAATGCTGTATGAAAATAGTGACGATCTTCCTGAAGTATTTTGTATCTATAGAACACTGAGGGTAAGAATAGGAATGTAATCAATATAACAAAAAAAGTAATGATGTTTTTTTAAGAAACAAAGACAAAAATCAAATGTTTAGACTAGTTGACAAGGTCCTAGCCTACATACATCATAATACATATATCATTTACACAAAAGTTACCTGACAGTGTGACTAATTCACATCTAACAAATAACCTACAGTGTAACTAATATGTGTATACCAAATAACCCTACAATGTAACTTATCTATGTGTAACAAATAACCCTACAATGTAACTTACATGTATCTGTGTGTACCAAATAACCCTCTATAGTGCAACTTATCTGTGTGCACCAAATAACACTACAATGTAACTTGCTTGTGTGTACNTAGGGCAAACCAGTGTGTAGAGTGTCAAGTGTGTGTTAGGGCAAACCCCA